GCAAAAGTTGAAAGCTTGCTGGACTCAAAATTGGATTATTTAAATTTCACTAACATTGGGTGCAATAATTTGTGTAATTACCACCTTTTGCTAATTCATAATTGTTAAACCACCCCTCTGTCAGTAATCAATTTTAAGGGAGCAGTGTCTTCTCGAATTCTTCCTTCTCTCCTTTTCGAATTCTCTATTTCTCTCTCCTCTTTGCTGCTCTCCTTCTCTCTTCTTCTGCAGAACACCATCCAAACAAAGCATAGAAGAACAGACTCAATGGGCAAAAGAAATGGGACCGCCGCATCGTCTTCCTCTTCGAAGAAGAAGACTCGACCGGCGCCCGTGCCGCCGGAGCACCCACCGCCCACTCGCCGATCCGGTCGCCGTTTTGCTTTCGGGGAGCCCTCAGGGGCCATGCCCCTCGCGTTTTTCGAGCCTCCGCTCTTCCTCACGCCCGCTTCATATTCCAATTTTGGAAATATGCCCATCGTCTTGGCGTCTAGGGTTTCATCCTCCTCACTGCCGCCCGTTGGACCGCCGTCGCCGCCCGTCACACCGCCGTCGCCATTCAATTACTCTCTGTCATCTCCACTCTCTTCGCCGGTACCATCGCAACAGCGATTTCCGCCTCCACCACATATCCGTCGCCAGTGCCGCCACCACCGCAGTCACCATCTCCTCACCATTTAATTCTAACAATAACATTTTTATATCTAAAACCCCCTCAAAAACTATAATCATTTAAATCAAAGTTAATCAAATGAATTTACGTATATATTATTTACAATAGACATGAAAACAATTATGAAATCGTTAATTCACAATTCAATATCGTCAGTTCCAGAACCCAAATATATTGAATAGTAACTGGCACGAACAATTGACGATTTTGGGCCGGTTCATGAACCGACAATTTCAACGGGTTCACGCCAGCTTACTGTTTGGTTTTAAAATAAAAAATAATAGAATGGCAGCTAGAACCGTACAATTTATTTTTAAATTAATGTTTTTTCCAGTTTTATTTCTGTTTTTTTTTTTTTTTTTTTTGAAATATCCAAAGTCATTCAAGTTTTATTAAGCAACCAAATTATACACGAGCCACAATAATAACATTTATAAGAAAGGTCTCAATTACCTAAAGCGTTATAGGGCGGCACTGCAGCGAGTTGCACAACTTCTTCCCTAGTTCAAAGCATAATGTCGCAATCACGACGACTTAGGCCAAGACGGCATACTGCATCGGTGAATGTCTCATACATTCTAAAGTTTCCGTCTCCTTCCCTTGTTTAAAGCTTTTTTAGGGTTATCAAAATTTGTTCATTCAACAGCATTTGTTTCAAAACCAAGAGCGCATTCTCCCTTTCAATGATGACCCGCCTGATGTCCTACCGCTTCGTCGCGGGTTAGGCCTTGGTCAATAAAGTAAAACATCATTTTATACTTGAACATGTGTTTCAACTCACAATCTAAAGGTTTGTGGTTTAATGAGATAGTATGAACTGTAACCGGTCATCTTTACCCGTCCCATTCACGATACAATTCATGATTCAAGATTCACGGTCGATAGTTAATTGACATGTGTTCAACGAACCGGTTCACGGTTCGAATAGACCATGGCCATGTTTATGAACTTTATTCAATTTCAACAGAAGCATAAGAAAATTCACTATGATAAAGTTCACTACGTTGACATTGAATTATGATTCGTTTTACTTATGTTGCTTAAATGTAAGTAATTAATTGGCATAAATATGAGCTCATAAACATGAAGGAACTTGTGTATTAAATTTGTTTCGTTGCAATTAGGTCAAATTTGTATAATACTCGAAATTGTGATCTTTAATTTTCAGTGCGTTCCGCACGGTTGAATTTTCTTCAACGTTGAACACCTTTAGTTGGGAATTAACATCCTCCCGAGATCTTCTAAGTCTCTCTCATGAAGAACCCATTTTCTTTTTTACGTTAAAGAAGCAAACTTTTGAATTCTTGGACAACCGTTTACCAAACATGTTTTAATTATTCAAGAACTCAATTTGCAAGTAATGCTTCACCCTCTTTCATTGGATAATGTTTTATCAAATCTACATAGGGTTGATAAAATCCTAAATAATAAAATTAGTTACTCATAATATCTACATAAAAACACAAATGGATGTTGCAAGTTATAAACAATACATACATAATATTTTGATTTGGTTCAGTAATTAACTCGAGAGAAATGAAGATCTTTAACAAGCTTCATTTTTCGAAAAAACCTATATATATATATATATATATATATATAATAATAATAATAATAATAATAATAATAATAATAATAATAATAATAATAATAATAATAATAATACACATTCTGTGTATCAATTAATGATAATTATACATGTAAAAATTAATTTTTAGATTCATAATATAATTCAAGTAAAATGTCAAGTTAAAATAGCACATATAAAAAGGGAGTTTAAAGTTTAAACTTTAGACTTTCAATAGATATTAACTTTGCATTGAGTAATTATAGTGTAAATAATATAAAAATAAAAACTCTCTTCTTGTCTCCTTCTAGAAAAATAAAATGATGTACTACGAAATCAACAGTCAATCAGTTGAAATTCTAGGCAAAAATAAAATGAAAAAACAAAAAAATCAATTTTAGTTTCATTAATCTTTCAGAAGATAATATTTAGGGTAAAGTTTATTTTCCATCATGTAATATGCGAAATATATCATTTACCCCCTGATATATAGAAAACATCAAACACTCCCTATTTTTGACGATTAATGGTAAAACCTTTAACAATATTAAATTTGAGTGTGTAATGACTCTTTTACTCCACTGAACTTAAAAGGTTATTGATACGATTTTAAGTAGAAATGAGGTGTATTTTTATTTTTATTGTTGACGATTTTTTATGTTCGTTCAAAATATGGGTTTTTTTGTCGATTTTAGTGTGTGATTTTTTGGGTTTCTAGTTTTCCCTTTTTGGGAGTTTCGAGATAAATATGAAAAACTTTGTTTTTAATTTTTAATTGTTTCAAATTAATTAATGTTTCATTTCAAATTTAGGGCTTCTTCATATTTCAGAGATTTTCAGTTTTCTTGTTTTTTTTTTTTTTCGTTTTTTTACGTAGAAACGAAATAGAAAAGGTTTGTAAAGAGTTAAAATGACTGAAAAAGTGAAAAAAAAAGAACATCCGAAAAGAGTGAAAAAAATTGATGAAAAATGGTACGGTCAAAACTAAGTATAGAAATTCTTCGGGGTATTTTCATAAAAGAAAAAAAAAAGCCAATAACTCTTTAAAACAACAAGTCAAAGGGTTTGACTAACGGAATCAGGTAAAAGACTAACAACAAGGGAGTATTTGATGTTTCATATACATCACAGGGTAAATAATACATTTCACATAATACAGGAGTGGAAAATAAATTTTACCATAATCTAATATTTATTTAGTATTTTCCCCATATATGCCTTGCAAAATTCTTCCATTCCGACACCATGATCGCCTTTTCTCTCTCTCAAAATTTCTTTATGTGTTTATCTCTCCTCAAATGACTCAACTCGATCTTGAAATATAGAGACAGCTATTCTAATCATAATCAAACTATATCTACATCAGACGGCTCCTACTTCTATCCTTGTAATTAATTGGTGGGGGCAATAATAGATTAAGATTGATAACTAATTATTATTCCTTTGGAGGTTCTTATAATTAATTAAAAAGGTTACTAGCTGCTATTAAAAAAAAAAAATATATATATATATATATATATATATTGGTTATAGGCTGGAAGAGTTTGGACAGCCACTTATAATCAATCGTATGGTGTGATTCAATATATATTACCAATATAATTCACCAATAATTATGGATTAGTTATGAGTATTATAGTGTGTTGATGATGTATGAGGATTTGAAGAGTGGATTAGTTTCAATGGGGTTGGTTTGAATTATATAAAAATTAATTAGCTATAAAATGTCCAAAATGCCCTGAGTTCGCCCTGTATATTCATGTTATCTGTACACAATTAATAGTTCGCCCTGAGTTTAGCACACACTTTTATTTCTATAATAATCTTACTAGCAATTATTTCCGCGAGAAAATGAAGAAACTTTAAATACATTGTAATTTAATTGTATTTAAAAAAAAATGCACAAACTAGAATAATTAGTTGTGAAATTTAAATTACCAAAATCGCATTAATATTCGTACAAATTATATGATCGTAAAAATTCATATAAAAAACATATACTAAAAAAAACATAAACTGACAAATCACCTGACTTCTATAACTGTTGATACATTTTCCCATTTATTTGTTTATTCGTTATAAATAATTAACATTTCAAATGAATATTAACCACAAAATAAATTGTTTACAGAGATATTACAAAACTTACGAAAGAAAGAAAAAACTATCGGAATGGATTAGTATTTAATAAATCCGATTTGTGAATCTAATTTGCTATGAAAGTAATTAGAGAAAAAAAACTTATGAAAAATATGAGATTAAACAATACTAATAAATTTAAAAAAATTATAAATATGTTATTAGAACTTTCTAGGCTACTCTAGCATTTCTTACTTATATGTAAAGTTTATATGAAATACAATAAAATAAAATGAAACACAGAACCGATTAAAAAAGAGGGTTTAGTCTTTAGATTGCTTAGAGTATATATTAATTAAAAGTTTGCATGGAATAGTTAGTGTACAATGATCTTAATTGGCCTTTTTGTATTCTTTTGACGAAATTAAGAAACCTTGTCCCCTTTTTTCTAGAAAAAAGATGATGTATTATGAAATCAACAGTCAACCAGTTGAAACTCTCTACACCAATATTAATTAAAAACATTTAAAAAAACAATTAAAGAAGAAAATTGCAATTTTTATTTCATATCTTTTAGAAGATACTATTTTGGATTTTGCCCCTATCCCGGCTTCTACTGCAGACTTATATACCTTATAAAATTTCTTCCATTCCCACACAATCGCCCCCTCTCTCTCTCTATATCTCTCTTCTTTCTCTCTCTAAAAGCAATTCCATCTCCTCAAATGACTCAAGTCGATCTCGAAACGCTAGTCTGCGCCGGAGTAGGCAACGACCGGAGAGTAGCCTGCGAAACCCTCGCCGACGACGACCCACCGGAAAATAAAGTCATCGTCGGCGGCGAAGATGAAGATGCCACCGAAGTGCCGCCCGACTTCCCGCCGGAATCTTTCTGGCTCTCGAAGGACTCCGAATACGATTGGTTCGATCGGAACGCGTTCAATTACGAGCGGAAAGAGTCGACCAAGGGCAACTCAAACTCGACGAACACAAACCCTAGTTCCAATTCGAATTCTCAGCGGTTCTCCGTTAACTTGAAGTCCAAGGCATCCATCATCGGATTGCCAAAGACCCAAAAGAACACTTTTAACGATTCCAAACGGAGAACCTGCAAACCGCCAAATATCCGGCTTTTCCCGCCGAAACGGACCGATTCGGTCGGAAAGTCGGCTACTCCGGTGGCGGAACCGGGTTCTCCGAAGGTGTCCTGCATGGGACGAGTCAGATCCAAGAGATGCCGGCGGAGGTCGAACTCGGTGAAAAGGAGCGAGAACCCGGTCGAGAAATCTAGCGGCGGTGGTGAGAAGAAGAAAACCGGGTTTTGTTCGAAGGTGATGAGCATGTTCCGGTCGAAGAAAAGTCACCGGAAAAATTCCCGGTCCGGGAGTAGGAAAGTGATGGAGGTGGTGATGGAGGAGGCGGTGGTTGTTGAACCGCTGAGGAAGAGCGTGAGTGTGAAAGTACGAGAGATATTCCCGGTTAGTGATGAACCGGCGGCTGAGCCTCCCGGTTTGGGAGGGATGAAGCGGTTCGTTTCTGGGCGGCGTTCGGGGTCCTGGACCTCCGATGATTTTAGTCAGGCGGTTTCCGGTGACTTGGAACGGCGGCGTGGGTAGAACTTGAAAGGCGGGATGGCGGCTGAAGAAAAAGTAATATTCCGTTGTGGTTGAAAAAGGAGGTGTTGGATGACGTGGCACGCGTTGAATAACTGTTAACGAACCGGCAGGTTTTTTTTTTTACAGTTAACTTTTTTTTTTTTTTTTTTTTTTTGCAAATGTTTGATTTGTGTTCTATAAATTTTTGACATGGCGGTACATATTATCGATTTACCTTAATGTAAATATACTTGTTTTGGATTGTATTTTATGCTTGGACTTTCTTCTATAATAAAAAATATTAATTGTGTCCCCGATGGTCTATAGTGGTTGGAGCGAAGTAATATGTATAAATTGATCGAAGTTCGAATTTTCTTACTCCACTCTAATAGAGTTATCAAGCGAGTATTACAAATTTAACCACCTAAATAACCAATAAGAAAATAACACTTAGGGCAATTAAATATATACTAGCCTTAATTATTTTTAGTTAACAACCATTTAATACATATTGATTGGAGCAAATAAATTTATAAATATATCAAATTAAAACATTAAATATCAAATAAATGTATGTTTCATTTTGATATTTTTTAGTTGGAGTTGCTCTAACTTTTTTATGTCTATCTCAATTGATAATGAATTTAATAATAATATTCTAAATGGATATGCACATAATCACACGCACGTACATGTATATCTACGTGTTTGGTGTCATTATATTAATAATAAAATATTAATCGATGTATTTTATTGGGTGTAGCATCTCAATCACCGTAAGACTCGACATCTCCACCCGATTATTACGCTTTGTTGGGTCCATCTAAAATGTTATCATTTATGAACGAAAGATATTATTAGAGCTTCGGTGCTTATTAGGACAATTATTAACAATATTATTTAAAATAGGTGTAATAAATCAAGCTTTTGTTTTATATAAAATTAGGATATATGGGAATAAGAGCAAGAAAATCAGCGCAGGTTGCTTGTGCCGTCAACAAAGTACAGCTCGATTTGTCGCACATGCATTGTTTCAACTTCTCTGCAATAAAATATTCATTTGTTAACCAAAGAGAGTTGATATTTTTTTTTCTTCAATTGCTGTAATTTTCAAGTTAGATTTGATTGGTAATTTGTAGATGAATTTCGGACGGAGTATTAAAATTCGAATCTATATGCTCTATATTATTATCAATTACTTTAGATTTAAAGTAATGCATTTTTTTTCTTCTGTTTTTAATCTTATCGATTTAACTCTAAGTATTAACTCTTTGTTATTACATTACTAAACGATCAAGGTTTATTAGTTTTTAAAAGGTGTTTTTTTCCTCCTAAAATAAGACGTGTTTGTTGATATTTTTAATATTTATGCAAAACTGAAAAACAACAATTAATTAAGAATGGTTGGAGCAAATGTTACTTCACATTTTCGAAGCACAAATTCACATTAATGCATATATATTAAATCTAAAAATAAATCGACCCATAATCCAGTTTTCAAATCGTGTGTTGTTATTTGCGTTAAATGGTGTACGATTTGAAAATGGGAATTTTGAATTTTCTTTATTCATTTTAAGATCGAATAATCCTGATTAACATGAACTCAATAATTATTGAAGGAACCATATAAATGTACTAGATAAACTTACACTCTCGTATAATAGCTTACAAATTATACAAGAAACGTAAATCACACTAAGCTAATCATGTGTGACAAGCCAAGGGATTTCGAACCTGGGTCAACTAACACATGCTCACTTGCTCGAACGGCCAGGCCATCTTTTGCGGTACATTATTGAGGTTTAGTTAATAGATGGTGGTTGGTTAGTGTGTTTAATTAGCAAAGTTAGGTAATTAATTGGACCGGTGTGTTGAATTATTGTGGCCTCCAAAATTGAATATGGAGAAGGAGATATACTTAGAAAAGATTCGGGCGTGACGATTATTATTTGATTGTGGTCCTTGGTCAACCCCAATCTATGCCTCGTCTGACGTGTACATCAAACTTCTATATTACTCTTGCTAGTTCAAAAATCACCTTGTAAGCATATTCTTAACTTTACCAATAATGTTCATATTTTACAATTGAAAGAAAATTGCTATACATAATATTACAAAATACTACAACAATTTTTCATATTATTAATATATTTATTTTGGAAAAAAAAATTCAAATTGTCTGCAATACTTCATAGATTAATATTGGATCGGATTTATTTATTTATTTATTTATGTATGTATACACCTAATTCCGACGTAGTTTTTCTTGAAAATAATCGAAATCAAAATTTTGGAGAAGTCAAATTCTCTATGATTCGGAGAGCTATACTCCTAAAGTCAAGACGAATGGGAAGTGCTTGCGGTTGTTTACAAATCTCCCGATGGTTAAGCGCGGTAGCAATCCGCTATCGACGCTACTAACGGAAAAGTAAAAAAGACTACCGTTTCGTCCACGCTTTAGGCTCAAAGACGCTAAATTGAAATGGGAAAAAGAAATTATTATAAAATTAATAAATTGAATTAGAATCGATAAAATTTGAAAATTCATTCCAACTTTCGCTCGGATCCTACTAATGTTTTTTTGTCTCTCCCCACATTGTAATAATGGAAGTAATGTGTTCGTCTTAATTTAAGGAAAAAAAATGACTTTTAAAAGTATAAATTAATCTTGCATGAAAACATAACATACTTAATTAGTTCTAATTAATTATCAGTTAAAATCTGACCATATGCCTAATTTCGGAGAGCAATTTTCAAGAAAATAAACATAACACACACGCACGTACTCAATCAACAACAATTAATTTCTAGGCAAATTTCATTCTCATCTGCATCGCATATATGATATATGTATTGTTTACAAATGGAATTAATAATTAATCCTGGTATGAGCAATGGAATTATCCTGGTACACCTCCACGTGTCTTTCATTCATAGGTTGACATGGCCTGGCATTGTACTTGCATCTCATATCCAGAGGAGCCTTGAGAGACTGTACTTGTTCACTTGATATTGATCTCACCTATTAATCAATCAATTCATTATAATGATTAATTGATTATGAATTATATATCATAATTAATCAATTTCAAAAAACTAAAAATATGAAGAAAAAAAAAATATCTTACATTAGCAAGGATTAGGTAGATAACATTTTCAGTGCAAGGAGGAGCACTGAAAGAGCCAATGTATTTGTAGTATTTGTTTGGAGTTTTCGTTAACTCCGTCGTGTGAAAGGGCCCGAATACTATTCGACTTGCTGCCTCCTCGTTGCTCTTCACATTGTACGCAAGTTCGTTCAATTCCTTGTGTATCTGCAATTAATTAATTAGTTAGCAATAGAAAAAAAAATATATTTCATTAACTAACTAAAGACTTTTCCAACTTTTAAAAATCAAGACTTATTAATAGTTCTATTGATCATGTGCATCTATCTATCTGGTATGTTTTAAAGGATTTTGACCTTTTGAAGAATCGGATCGGGGCGCCCGTTTTTGAAAAGTGTCCCCACTACGGCAACTTTGCCGTCGTCTGCAACGTGTACCATGTGCATCTCCGTTGCAAATCTATATATA